CATGACGTCTGAAACCGGAGAGTTCTCCGAGACCTTTTATGTTATTATTTGTTAAATGTCTCCCGACATTTAATCCGGGGGAAGGCTATATGGAATTAACACATTAATTCCATTTATAATTTTACGCGCGCGCGAGTTTCCTCCCTTCCTTTCACACTCGTGCGTGTGTGCGCGCGTGTTTTCACCCCTACCTTTCACTCACAGCTAAACATAGCAGTAACCTACTTTGAGCTCCTACTGATTTGGACTCATAACAGATTTTGAATTTTCCCGCGCGTTTCGCGGCGTTTCAAACGGCCAGCGTTTGCAACCAGTTGTTTCCCGGTCCCCAACCTGAGTAGACGGGCAACTCATTTATTCCGTGCCCTTAACCCATATGCGGGCCGGAATATCTTATTTCAACAATGTCTACTGCACCCTCTACCAAGACTTTTTCTCCTTTTGAAGCTGCCAACAGGTCGGACCTTTTTCTCCGTTTTCTACCAGAAGATGTTTTAGAGATACGCGACACTGTCGCTAGCAAAAGTTCGTATTCAACTATTGGCGTATTTTTATCCCTCGTCAGGGGCCTAATAAGTATAGGCAGGGTTGTCCTACTGAACGAACAAATTGCTAATCACAGGTCAGGACCTTTTTCTCCGTTTTCTACCAGAAGACGTTTTTAGAGACACACGACACTGTCGTCGGCAGAAACTTCGTGTTCAACAGGTGACTTAAACTTACCCCTGGCTTCGAACCAAATAATACAGGCAGGGATAGTATTACCTTTGAACAAACATTTTTCGTCTTTCTCTTTGGGCTCGCCGTAAACCATTCTACAAGGAAACTTGCTTCAAATATTCTTCGTTTCTCCCGGCTAGATGCCCACAGCAGTCCAGAACATTTACCAGCGGTCAATTCAATGTTTCACCAAAAAAAAACAAAAAAACTCTGAGACGACCGGACATTCTTTATAACTCTGAACCTGTACATTAAAAATATGCATAATCACTTACAACTTAAAATATCCACAGTGAGTACTCCTTTCTATCTGTGCGCACATTCTTTTTCCGGAACTGTATAAAACTTTCTTTTCCCGCCTTTGGCCATCTTGTATTTCTATTTTGGTGTGGAACATTTTTCATTGATCCCTACCTTGGGATGAGTTACTTGTTACTGTTTAATTAAAGTTTACTCATGTTTTATAAAAAGATGTCTTTGTCATTTTTATTCCGGCTATCTCTTTGATGTTCATTATTTTATGCACTTGGTTGATTGACCCCTTTCCTCTCATTGTTCATTCACGCTTATATTTATTTTTTTTTTACATTGCTTGTAGACTCGGTAGTTTAGTGTGGTGTCTGGCACAAGGCCACTCAGTAATAAACCAGCACTGCACGCTACTGGGTCTGCAACACACTCTCCGAGATTGGTTGTACCATACAAACTACGACCCAGATACCTCTACCAGGCACACGAGGGCAACAACCACTCAGGTGTCACCCGTATGCGAGAACTCCTTTCCAGCTACTGGTGGGAATTCAAAAACCGCGACATCAAGGCCTATGTCGATTCTTGCGACACGTGTGCTAAGTGCAAGGGCAACTACGGTAGACGTACCCACTGGCCCATTGGCCACTGCAAACGAAGAAAGAGACCATTCGATCTCGTCTTTATAGACTTTGTCACAATGCCCAACTCAAAGTGAAAACCATCCTAACCATCTTGGATAGCTTCAGCCGACATTTTACAGCCATACCATGCGCGAGAGACCGTGCTATCGACGCCGCCCGCGGATTGTACCATTTCTTCCTTCGACACAGAGAGATTCCACGCATAGTATCCTCTGATCGAGGCACACACTTCACTGGAGAAGTCTATCGACAATTCTGTAACTAGATGTCAATCACGCAAGAACTTCACTGTCCTTGGCGACTGCAAAGCTCAGGAAATATCGAGAGACAACATCGCACGATGAAGAACGCACTTTATATGTTATGCGAAGACAGGAATTGTGAATGGACAGACGTTCTAGAATCTGTCATTTCGTCCATGAATGCCACGACCAACAGCGCCACCGGTGTCTCCCCGCACTATGCCATTACCGGTCGTCACCCCAACATCGGCCTACCTACACTACACAGAAAAGAAATCACAAGCGACGATCCTTTTGTGGTGTTGTATTTCTTTCTTGCAACCATACGCTTGTCTATAACAGACTGAATTGACTATTGACTTTCCTCCAGGAAGATATAACATAAGGTTATAGATCCAAATACAAGTATAAATAAGGAAGCCACTGGTTCTTCACTTATATATATGATTAGTGGACTAGTACTTAAAAAAAAGAGGGTGCTCACTCTGAGAATTTTATGACTCTACTATCAGTCAGTAGTGGTGCCTCTAGATATAAACTGTGGCAAAATTTATATACTACTAGCATGACAGCCTCCACCATCTCAGAACACATTCTGTAACTGATGTCAGTGTGATTGTCTGTGTGTTGCATGCTTGCTCAGATGATTTTGTGACTTTGCTACAAGTCTGTGGTGATTTTTGTAGAAGTTAGAAAATTACTGCTGGTAGGCAGTAGTAGGAGTAGTAATTCTATGTGATTAATATTGGTTGATCCTCTTTGATAATGATCTTACTTCTAATGAAAATAAATTTGGAAATGATGAGAAATGTGTTTGTTTCAAATAGAATGGTCTTCTCAATGATGTCAGATGTGACAATATGTTGATTTTGGGGAAAAATCAGAAAAATCAATTGGTCACTTGTTACTGGCATTAAGTTGAAGTATTTGCTGACAGATGATGTTATGTGACAATGAAATGAAAATGAAATGATATCAGGTGTGACAAAGTGCTGATGTTTTGAAAAATTAATTGGTCACTTGTTACTGCCATTGAGTTGAAATGTTTACTGACAGATGATGTTATGTGACAATGAAATGAACTTTATGAGTTTTTTGGAAATTTGTTGAAATAACTCACTAGTTGCTTGCTCTGGCTTTCATATATGGCAATAAATTTTTTGAGAATCTACTTTATGAAACTTTCAATATATCTTTAAGTACCTACTGTGTTCATTATAGGGAATTGGAGTTTTATTCTGGAGTACAGCAGCATATGAAATATCTATCACAACCAAGAAAGGGTGCAAAAATTACCCACTTTCATCACAGTAATGAAAAATAATAAGTATTGAGGCCCTGTGATCACATTGCATTAATGAGGATCAACTGGAGGGTAAGTCTGGTTTCAGCAGCTGTAGTATTTCCAGCTTCAATAACCTATATTAAAACTTTTGTGGTTAAAATGCTCATAGTTTGGTATCAGGTTTGCTATCAAAGACTGTTTGTTGTGTTTCATCTACAGCAAGGCAATATTCAAAAGGATTGGTTAGAACTGCTCATCTTGCAAAACTAGAGTTGACAGATAAACTACAGTGATGTTGTGTGACAAGCATGTTTTCCACACTCTGGAGTGAAAGTTGGAGATTTAATGACAATCAAATATTGTTCAGCCATCTACCAGCATTTGCTATCATGGTCCAGCAGGTAACCCGCAAGAAACCAGATTTCAGCTATCAGGGTATTACAGTTACAAACTGAAATTGAAAAGCTCACCATCAGGAGTGGCATCCATAGCTTTTGATTCAACATAGGAGAAAACTCATCTCATCAACACACTGGTAAGATTGAGAGATCAATAGTTATTTCTTGTTTCAGTGGAGGACTGTTCTTAGTTGGTAATGATCTGTTTGGTCGATTCTAATGATAAAAAGTCTGTGTCAATACCATAACTGCCTTCTGTACACATCATCCATTGCTACTAATAGTCAAATGGTGAAGTCTTCAGATTTGGCTGTTGTTGCCACATAGCAACATACTCATGCCCAATTTGGCATTTGATAATTGGAGAAGACAACCAGATCTGATAATTTAGAGGAAGTAAAAGTGTTAACAAGGTTTTTGTTAGTGAACCTGCTGAAAGATCCTTATGAAAGTTATTGTTTGCCACTGTCATTCTCACAATTGATGAAACAAATTCAAATTAGCTCAGGCTTTATTTATGTGAATTTTCACATCCTTTTCACTAGAATTTATATACCTAGGAAGTGAAATAAATTCAGTGTTATACTCTGCTTCAACTTAGATCTCTTTCTGGTTCACTTTGCATCAAAACCTGTTGCCTAGATGTGAATGCTAAGAAAGCAAAATTGAAAATAAAAAAAAGTTGTTCTCTGTGCAGCGGCTTTGAGCCTCATATCTGACTGACTCATAAAACAATGTCTCCCAGTATGAAATACAGTTTAAAGGAGCAGATCATGAATGTTGCCACTAAAGCAAAAGCATGACAAAAAGCACCGAGTCATGTATTCACACTGACTGCTTGCGACACTCAGTTGCAGTACAGGAAACAGGCAGAAAACCATAGAAACCACCAGTGGCCTCAGTCAACCAACTTAACACTAGCTTCAATGTGAAGTCCTACCAAATCTCCCATCTTCCAGGTCGCTTTCCTTGCCTACAAAGTGATATTTCACCATGATTCTATATATTAACAATACAAAGAATTTTATTTCAATAAATCTTATTTTTTTCTTCTACCTCATCAGTGGTACTTTGTTGTTTTGTTTGTTCTTGGCTACCATAAACAGTTTATCAAATCAGCAGATGAATATTTTCAATGAATATGATAATAAACGTTAAATAGTATTTTATTTGTTAAATCAAATATATATTAAAACATTGGGAAACAGAATTCTGCAATTTTTTGTGCAAATCAGAACATTTTTTTTAAAGATATGCTAAAAGCCTTAAGTATGCAATTATCAAAACCAATAATTGTTAACAAAAATTTTCGAAAATTTTCTTATGAAAACATGTTTTTAGGAAAGGCATTTCTGAATAAAATAATATTTTAATTTTTTTTAAGTATTTTGCTTTTATTAAAAGAAGTGTCCCAAGAGTTTTGAATGTTATTCATGTATATTATGAAAAGATTTTTTTTTACCTTTGTGATGCAAAATTGTCGGTAAGTGTAATAAGAATATTTATTTTCCCTTTTGTTACTGACACTTATATTTCCATATGTCTTGGTTACCTCCAACTCTGGCCAGTACTGCTCACTTTTCAGCTAAAAGAAAAAGAAATATTTCAAGGATATTAATATATGCTATGCATTTTATTTTTTATCTACAGTTTCATGTTGGTTCAAATGTTATATTTGTATCTTTATAAATCCTTCACACACTGTTAATCTTATATGATTAGATATTTTCCTGCCAGACCTCAAATAAGTCATAAATATAATAGCAAAAAAATATGAGATGGCAATTCAGAATTGGGGAGGAATTGTGGAAACCTAGGATAAAAAAAGAGTGGAATATAATGCTAGAAATACTGTGTTAGATATAGTGAAAAGAAAATTTGATTCCTTTGAGTTCCTTATCTTTTCATTACTTTTTGATGGTGAAAGACAAAAGTCAGTATCTGGAATATGTCAAAGATTAACTAATGACTGCAAAAGTAGCTTCAGATGATCAGCACAATAATATCTGTGCCCACTAATCAATTTTTGCAGCACTTCTCTTGGAATCATTGTTCTCCTATGTAAATAGCATTAAAAATGACAGACTGTAGTTATTTTACAGACATGGACCTCTGTCAATTTTGAATAAACTCTCTTCAACTTGTCAGCATTAAGTTGATCAACTTACATGCAAAGTTTTACTAATACAATGAACTTATCAAGTCATTGTCATAATGTTTAAAATGCCAATAATACTCATTTTCACCTCAAATTGTCAAATCTAGTTCCTAACTCACTACTAACTGATAACCTTTACAAAGCACCAAAGAACAGAGAAAAATTATGTTATACCATATGATTTTTCATTTTTGGAGAAAAAAAATCAGGCTTTAAAATTGTGACCAACAATTTGAAAGATCAATCTAGATTTACAGTTAAGCCCCATTTTTTAGTTTTAAAACAGTTTTCAATGATTTTTTAAAAATATGCTTTTTATTTTTTTAGGATTTGAGAATTCGATTATTTTTAAATATGTGAAAATTAATATGAGCACTTACTTTGCCATTTTCTGATAGTTTGGTCAGCATTACAATAATGCTACATTTAGTTTGATGAATCATTTTCCAAAAGTCAGTTATAGTGCTGGAAAGAGGCCCTGAATTGAAAAAGAAAACATGTTTGAACAAAAAGTGATTTTTATGTTTTTGTAAAATCTTGATATTCCAACTACCTGAAGAAGGCTGCAGTATACAACAGCTGAAACGTTGTAATGAATATGGTGACAAAGATGAGGACAATAGTTCGAATAATATAAATAGTGTATCAGGAAGAGAAAGTTGAAATTTCTTGGACACATAATGAGGAAAGACTGCTTAGAAAATTTGATACGCACAGGATAGATTGGAGGTAAGAGAGACAGAGAAAATCAATGCATAACCTATCTGGTGAGCCTGAGTGAATGAATATCAGAGCATGTTTTATAGCAAAAAGGATATAGCAAAAAGGCAAAATGTATTAAGAACTAGAAAGGACAAGAAATTGTGGAGAGGCATAACCACCAACATCCTGAAAGAACACGGCACATAGAAAAAAATCATAATCAGTTTTGTTTTCTTTCTAAGATCCCACAGCATGTTTTAAAAAACCCTATTGACTATATATAACATAATTCTCTTACATTAGATAAGGCATGTAGCATCCATAATGTATAGAGTATATTACATTCGCTCCATCTGAGAAAAATATAAACAATGACTACACTGTCAAACATTCTTGATAATACACAGTATAAATGCCATATACTATATGATAAAGTATTTTTCAATATTGTACATGTCAAAGAACAATATATATATATATATATATATATATATATATATATATATATATATATATATAAAGGAAGATATATGGATTCAGACTCAGTTCCATCTGTAACAATATGGTACCAATAACATATGGGTAGACTTTCTTAATTCAGTGGGTACAATTAGGACATGATTTATGGTCATTGTCAGAAAATTTTGCATTTTGAATTTTAGGTGAATTTGGAGACCTTGTTACATTCACTTGATATGTGGGATTTGCTGGACTCCTTGAATACTAAGCCCTGAGGATATCTTGAATACCTCATATTACCATACGTTGGGTTAACATCAAGAAGCTCAACTTGATTTACCAATGGTTTATGGTTACTATAATGAAGATATTGTCATAGCAACAGAAACCCTGGAGATAAAATCCATGATGTTAATGAATCTCCATGACTAGAGTGTTTCTAGAATCCAAACACAATTTCATGAGGGATTTCATTAATGTTATTCACAAGAGTGATCTCAGTGAATGTAATAGCTCTGGAAGCTACATCTTCCAGTGATTTTACCCCAAGTCTTGAGTTCCAAGTGCTAAATAAGTGGCTTTCAAGATAATGTTATTATATTGCTCCACCTGGTCATTGACATTAGGATTATAAGGTGTGTTGTTTCAACACTCTTCTAGAGAAAGGTTGTGACAAGAAAGATGTTCGTTTTTCTAAATGAATGAAACTAGGCTTCAAGAAAGCCTAACTACTGCTTCAAGGCTGTTAAAAAATTTTTTTTCACTCTGAGTAAATTTCAGCTCTCAGTAGTTTTGGAGGAAAGGATGAAAGTAATAAAATAATTTACTGAAACCTGAACTTTGCCAACCTGTGTGCAAAGGTTCTTGACCAAGGAGTGGAGTGGGGTCAACTTTTATCAGATAAATTGCATAACCATTTAGTGTTATTACCTACATAGTACACAAAAACATTGATTGTAAATACATATGTAACTGATTTAGGTTTGTTACGTTAGAGTAATTTATAGTAGCTTAGATTGAGGAATCAGAGAGCCAAGTTTGAATTCCAGTCGAATCCATTACATTCACTTATGTGATAATACCTTGGGAAAGGTATGAATCCTCTTCTTCTCCTCCCTTCAGCTATGGGTAAATAACAGGAAAGACCAGGTTCTATAGCCTTGGATGGTAATGGTCTACTGCAGAAAGAAATGACAACCTACTGCGGGAAAATATCTGTCTCGTCAGTCATGTATCAAAAGATACATGATCGCCTAAGCATATTTCATGCATGGCACATAACTGGAGTGTTAATTTTCTGTTCAGAACTATCTCAAGAAAATTCCAGATATTTTCATCATGCTCAGCCTGAGATGATCCTACAAAAGTAATGTTATCAAAATATGGAAAAGTATCTTCTTTCCTTAGTTTCACTATTAGATGCTGAAAAGAAGCTCTTCCTTTACTGGAACTAAATGGAACTTTATAAAATTGATACAGTTTCTCAGTAGCTACAAATATACAAAGTATACTTTTTCTCACACTGATTTAGATTTGGTTGTATGCACTCTTTAAATGGAATGTACCAGAAACTTTATACTTTGCAATATCATACACTATTTTTCCTATCCTTGGTACTGGATATACATCTAGGTTCACATACTGGTTAATGGTTTGGGAGTAATTAATACAAAGTCTCTTTTTGTGTTTGTTAAGTGGATTTTATACAACTAACTTGGCCTTCTTTAGAGATAAATTTGCCTTGATAATACCTTCAAAGAAATATTGGTTCCTTTATGAACAACCAGTCATCCTTACCATAGTGTCTTGATTTGATTGCAATAAGTTTACATTACTGAGGCAGATTTGGGAAGAGTAATGGTTCATTAAACACTGCTGTTGCTAGTGAACACAGTTAATCTGTACCAGTAATCTTAAGTTCATATTTATTTTCCCTGTACAGAAAATTTATATTCTTGTATTTCTTCTGAAAATAATATCACAATACAGATCCTTTAAACTTCTTAAATGAGTAAATGGATAACTTTATTCAAAATCCATTCTTACAAACCCAGGAGAACTTGCCTTCAGAGACACTAATGCCATTGAAATATTTTTACTTGCAAGATATCTTGTCAGTTTTAATTTATATGCACTTCTTCACTTCTAAAACTGAACTAAAAGCATCAGTCAATGAATTCATTGGGTCCTCATTCAGGGAAACTATCTTTACTGTATGTGAAAAATTCTCAGAAAATAAAGCAGTGACCATAATAAGGGTCCTGAGAAATATCTGATTGTCATAAATTGGCAAAACAGGCATGAGATTTGTTAAACAAATTTCAACCAGTGTTCCCAACTCAGTATTTATGCTGATGATGCAACTATTTACTCCTTTTTTAATAGTTCAATAGATCCAAATAAGTAAAACTGACAGCTTCTCTAGGAAATGACATCCAATCAGTTTTTAACTGAGGTAAGAAATAGGTTATTAATTTTAATGCCTCTAAAATGAAACTGTTATCTTTAAGAAATCACAGAGAACCATTTTTGCCTTCTATCAACATGGTTGATGCTAACCTTCAGTAGATCAACATTGCACCTTGGCTCTATGTTTTTCACTGACATGAAGTGAAGTGATTATATTGAATCAATTGCTAAGTCTGCTGCTAGGAAATTTGATTCACTGTGTTGTGTCAGACAATATTTCTTGCCAGAATTTATCTTGCACATTTATAAATCTATAATTTGTCTGATTAAAAAGAAATAAATAATGTTATATTGAAAAATCCTTTACAAAATTACTATATGAATAATTACTGAATTTATGTTAACCTGATGATATTAGATAAGCTGCATGTGAATAATCTGTAAGTTTAATTCAAATGAAAAAATAACCATAAAATCATTTTTGAGAAATTAGAAAGAAATTGTACATATCTTGTTATTCTTCAGTCACTTCATTGTTTTAATCTTTCCTCTTTTAACATCCTTTATTTTACGTGCTACACCATTGTCATATACTTTTGAGGATTTGACAATGAAGTCCAATCAGTGATACTTGATTCTTGTCAGTTAAACAAATGTAATATTTGGGAGCACTTTCTTCTTGCATTGATGAGGTCATGAATAGAATAAAAAACAATTAAATAAAGACTATTACAAACATTTATGCTATATAAACATTTTTTGCTCTTTATGATGAAAATTTTGTTTCATCTATAATGTTTATCTATAATGTCATCTATAAATATCAGACAGCGTAGTTTCATAATCGAACAGCGTAGTATCATAACAGACAGCAAAAAGTATGACAAAAATTTGTGGCTCATCTTCTATGTGCCATATCCCTTCAGGACCTAGGAAATCATGAATCTCCACAATATCCTGTTCTTTGTAGCTTTGAGTAAAGTTTGTCTTCCCCCCCATCATCCTAGTCCTTCTTCTGACATCAATTTACACAGGCTTGTTAGGTAGTCCCACTTTGCTTTCAACATATCCTGTAAGTGTTAAATTCTCCAAGCCTCATTAAATTAATTTTAAATTTCAAGAATTTCTGATTCTAAGTACAAATGTCCTTTTTGTAATCCTTAAAACTTCCTTGTTACTCACATGTTCAGTCCATCATATTCTCAGTATCCTTCTGTAGAACCACATTTCTGTTACCTAAAGACACTTCATCTGTGTGGAGATTGTCCAGCATTCACTGTCATATAGAAAGACTGATATTACATAGCAGATCAGCATTCTTTTTTTTTTGTTTCTAACAAAATTTTTCTGTTTCTTAATACTTTGCTTAGCTTTTCGAAGGCATCTTTCAGTATTCCAATGTGTCTTTGGATTTTGGTCTCTCCAATTTGTTGCTTGTATCTTAAGATTTTCCTCTTGCAGACATCTATACAGTTTTCTTACACTTGATATTTATTTTCACTTTTCTTTATTATATTTCTCTAAGAGCTCCTGCTGTGCTCAAAGGAATAATAAAACATGCATTTCAGAAATTGAGTGGGATTTTAAGGGATTGGAAAATGTCCTTAGAAATAAATAAATGAGAGTTAAACGGCTTTATAATGTTTAATTTTTCATTACAGAAAAGGCAAAGACTTGAAGTGGTAGAGATGTAATTCTGTTGACAAATATTGAGAATACCATGAACAGAGTATGTAAGAAATGAGGAAGTTTTAAATGCTTAGGAACTACAAAGAAATTACTGGTAACACCATTAAAGAAACAGCTGAAATCTGGGAAACACATAATGAGAAAAAAGTCCAGTGCTCACAGGGCATATTGAAAGCAAGGCTAAATAGTGGAAAGTAATGAGAAATGTTCTTGACAAATTTGAGAAAATTGATAATGAAACAAGCACTAGAAAGACAAAAGGGTCGAAGCTGTGGAGAACTATGAGCATCTACATTTTGAAGGGACATAGCATATATATATATATATATATATATATATATATATATATATATATATATATATACAGTACTTCACAAAAGTAAGTGAATCCACTAAAATAATATTAAAAAAAATTCTCTTTTTTCCCAGATAATCAAGAAATCTTAATTAAACCCTACATTCATTAAGAAAATGAATTACACCCACTGTCAATTTTTAATTAATATTTTTATTTCAGCTTGATAATAAATTTTGAAAGTGGTTGTAAAGTTTTTATTACTGAATATTTGGTTTAATTAAGATTTCTTGATTATCTGGGAAAAAAGAAACAAATTTTTTCAACATTATCTTAGAAGTTCATTTACGTTTGTGCAGCACTGTATATATATATAGAAAGAAATAAGTTTGGATTTGAAATTAGGATTGATGAATTTGAACTGGATATTAGATGATTTTTTAAGTACTTTTGATTTTTTTTCATCAAGCTTACCTTGTGTTGCAATGTAAGTTTTATTTTCCTGAAATTAAATAAATAATTATATTAGTCTACTAATAATTAGAACAATTAATATTTAATAGATATGCATCAAAATGTGTGTATCTTTGCCTAATTTGTAACCAGTAGAGATAAAATTATTCCTCATTAGTTGCCATTGAGAAATTTGATAATGTGTTAAACTTGACTTAGTCAGCATATACATACTTAAATAAGAATATCCTCTGTCTTTGCTGCCCCAAAATGGAATTTGAGTATGGCACATGAACTGAATATAATTGTAAATTGCTGCATCCTTTGATGTCAATACTGTTCTGATTGTGTTTGACATTTTTTTATGATGGTTCCTAAAAAAAGAATAGCATGTGTGTGAATTTTTTTCTTTTTTGAAAATAAAAACTGCAGCTGAAACTTTTGCAATGCTTCATGAAACTTTTGGGGAAAATAGGAATGTATGAGTGGTGTTTGCATTTCAAACATGATGCAATGCCACTTGAAGACCAATGATGATATAGCCAACCTTCACTTTGTCCTTATGGTCCTTGTTGTGACATCCACTTACTCAAATTCATCAAATTACTATTTCTCTTGCCTTCAGTATTCTGTATGAGTTAAATTCTCCAAGTCTTCTTTCTTCCTAATAATATGTCCCCAATATTTCAGCTATCTCTTTCTGATCAGTAAGTTTCTTTTTAGTTGCTATTCTTCTTAAAACTTCTTTCTTTCTCACATTATATCTCCACTGAATTCTCAACATTCATGAGTAGAATTGCAACTATGTTGCTTCAAGATTTTATTCACTTATGAGGAATTTGTTCAGCATACAGACATATAGGAGATGGGATATTACAGAGCAGTCCAACATTCATTTCTTTACTTCTAACAACATTTTCTGATCTCTCCATACTTTGCTAAATTTTTGAAAAACATTTTTCACTATTCCTATGCAGCTTCAGATTTCATGTTACTCTGTCATTTATTACTATGGTACCCAGGTAGTTAAATTTCCACACCTGCCTGAGTTTTATGTCTCCAATATGTAACTCACACTTTGGGTCACCTCTTTTACTGACAGCCATACATTCTGTTATCTTAATTCTTTCAGTTTTTTTTTCTGAATCTAACATCAAAACTGTATCATTTGTGTAGCATATCTTCCAACATATTAAAATATTGAATTGGACATATTTGAGAAGAGTATATAAGTTAATAGATTACATCTATTGCATTTACACTTTAACAAAGCTGCAGAAAAAGTGATCAATTGTAAACTTACAGTTAAATAATTGGCATTGATGTAATCAGATGATGAGAATTCATCCGGAAGCAGGCAAACTCTTGAATGGTCATCTGGTATAAGTAAAAATTGAAAAGGTAAATAGATCTCAAGAATATAGGAAAACCATTTCAGAAAGAAAGAAGTTATTTGAGGTGTTATAAATAAATGTTTTATTGGGTGTTTGAACACTTAAAACTTTACATACACATTTATGATAACAGAAGATCTACCAAGGAAGATGAAATGTTGCAAGCACCTGGATGCAAATTTATCATTGATGATTTAGTAAACAAAACATCTACTATATATTTTCATTTTAGTAAATTACTAACTCTTTTAATTAGAGTAGCAATTTTTAAATTGAAATTATGATTGGATTCATTATAGTGAGAAAATAATGCCCTAAGTGTATTGTTTTTTAATATTTTGGGTTCATAATCTTTGTTTAAATTACTTGAGGTTTCACCTATGTAGTCATTGTGGCAATCATTACAGGCTATAATGTAAATTCCTGCTTCAGATTTATCTATTTATGAATTTGTAGGAATAAAAAGATTTGTGTTGGTTATTTTATATATATATATATATATATATGAAAAAATATAGTTTTAAGGTGTGCTATATTTATGGCATAAAGTACTCAATATCAGAGATAGAGCATATGTAAATACAAAGGTGAACACTGAAGTCAACATTCAGAGGCAACAGGCTGTTTCATGCTAGATGTAATCGTCAAGCTGATGATTGTATCTAGCATGAAACAGCCTGTTGCCTCTGTTTGTTGACTTTAATGTTCACTTATATATATATATATATATATATATATATAATATTTGTGTTGGTTATTATATATAAAAGTTAATGGTAAGAGTTGAATTAGATCAATTTTTAAAAAAAAATAAAAAATTCATGAACATTATATTTTTTAAAAATAAATAAATAAGTTCACAATGTAAGGTGTTGTGGAAGAGGAGGTGAGAAGCAAATCTATTGGAAAAGTGTCAGTGGGGGATTAAATGAAATCAACATTATTTTCATCCCACTTCATATGAACTTTTTAATATGTTTAGAATGGGACATAATTTCTGATCTCTTATTCAAAACATTTTGAATGAGAGATCAGAAATTATGTCCCATTGTAAACATCCTGTTGATCAAATGGTAACAAGACCATTTAAATCTATTTTAATTCCAGTTGGTAACACTACAAAATGTAGAAAAGTTCATGGAGGGTGGACAATAGCTCAGTAGATAGGCTCAGTAGATGTGTACACATCAAAAGCTGCTGAAAGGTGAACAAGAGGCTTTCCCAACAAAATTCTGATGTTTGGTTATTTGATCAGATTTTAGGAAGTGGGTTGAGCAAAGAAATTTTAATACTCCAGTATATATATATGTGTGTGTGTTGTTATGAATTCACAATGTATAAACGTATGAACCCCAGGTTCAAAAAAAAAAAAAAAAAGAAAGAAAAAATGTGGGTTCACTCAGATAGGAACACACAAACAGGTACTGACAAACAACAAACACAAGATTAACACTTATAAATAAATTTTATATAACAAAATATAAAATATAGGAAAATATGGCATGAAAGATGTACAATTAATAAAAGAATGCTTAACTGATATTGGATGTCAGTTCAAATGTTTGTGTTTCAGGAATTTGAAGTTTGAATATTCATAATGACAGATAAAGCTGCTGTAGAATGTTCCCAAAAGTTGGTTGCCTTTCATCACAATGTAAAATATAGGATTCCAGAATAATGCTTGTTCTCAGTTTCCCCATGGTTAATTGAATTTCATCAGAGATGAAAGTAAGATATTTTCTTTGTATTTATTTGGGCACAATATTCCTTTATCCTTTATTCATTAAATAGTCAAATAAATCAAATTTTCTTATTCTTTACACAAGTAATGAAATAGGTTTGTGGGTGTATTTCTTATCTCTCAAGATCACATAATGAGAGTTTATTTTTTCATGAACTGTTGTTGGTGGGGGTAATCTGGAAACTAAAGTTACAATACCAAAATCCCACTTGCTGATATATGTCATGTGAGCATAGGTGACTGATTCTTACTCACTTTCTTAGGGGGTCATTCTGTTTGCTGCCAAGCAACCCTAAATTTCTTTCCTGTCCTCTCTTAGCTGAAACATGACTCAGTACAGATAGGTAGAAAAAAAAGGGGGAGGAGGAGAAGAAGAAACACAAAGACAGTATGCCCTTATTAAATTTATTGTATGTCTTATTTAATAGTTAACAATGAGGGCCATGTTACAGTGTGTCTGTGACACACACACACACGCATATATATATATGACATAGTGGAAAGTGATTCTTTAGAACTTTATCAGACTAAAGTGATAGTTATTCTATCTTTGAAATATTTCCTCCTTTGATTTAATGCATCCTGTCAATGAGCATATCTTTTATCCTTTTATGCCACTTAGGCTGACATAGAATGGAAACTACAGGAACTACCAGAGAAGGTAATAAAGGAATGCAAGAAGAAAAATACTAAACATCAATTGTAAGAACATAGAATGCATAGTTGTCAGCAAGATGCAAACTACAAAATGGAGATACCAAAATAAAGCAACTACGAAAATTTAAATATCTGCGATGTGTTTTAACAAGGAACAGAAAATGTTCCACTGAAATCCAAAGGTGCTTTGGTATAGCAAAAGAAGCCTCCTAAAAGTTAAGCAAAGTATTAAGAAACAGGAAAATTTCATTAGAAACAAAGATAAGAGTACTAAACAATTATGTATTATCAGTACTTCTCTGTGGCAGTGAATGTTGAACAGTCTTCTAACAGATGAAGAAGAGATTTGAGGCAACAGAAAACTGATGCTACAGAAGGATGCTGAGAATATGATGGGCTTAACAAGTGAGTAACAAAGAAATTGTTTTTTTTTCTTACAGTGATGTTCTCCATGTACAAGGTCCGGGAGCCACTTGAGGCAGAGGGTTACAGAGTAAGCAGCATAGTTTATGCAGATATGTGGGGAAGATAATGATTAATCCTAGACTTGAACAGGTTGAGATTGCAGTCATCAGGGAAACATCCACTTGGGAGTCAGTTCCACAGTTCACAGGAACAAACTGCTCTTGTGGAAATTACATCTCAAAAATGGAATGCAAAATGAATGAGAGCGTTTTTTCTACAATGTATGGAGCATGGTGGCTTTTAGTTGTAAAGGTTAGAACTGGTGGAACTAAGGAATGTAGTTTGTCTAAGCACTTTCTGTGGTAATATCAAAAGAGGAGTGAAGGGCTTGAGACATTTCATCTGTGAAATATTTTCTCACTCACAAGGATGCAGAGACACATTTGATCTCTATTGAGACTGGAAAATGAAAAGTAGGTAGCACATGCCCACATATGGCAGCAATACTCCATTTTGGGCTTGATCTGGCCCTTGTAATGGTAAAGGATAGCATGAGTAGTCAAGTACTTACTGGAAGTTTTAATGAAAATGGAAACAAAAATGATGCTTATACTTATAATAAGAATGAGTTGAAATTTGTAGGGCACATAATGAGGAAAGATGTTCTTAGAGAATTTGATACTTACAGGAGGAGCAGTGGAGAGCAGGGAGTAACCTACCTAATGAGCAGATGGATGGCAGGTATTGGGATGGATAGAGAAAAGACAAATCTTATTAAGAGATACAAGGATAGGAAGTTGTAGAGAGCTATGATCCTGAAGAGACATGGCATATAGAAGAATTTTTACCACCTATTTAGATGATGTTTTATCAGTTAGAACTTTGGTCTTTCAAATGAGAAATACATGAACTGACTTCAACTTAACTATGTAATAAAAGCATAATTTTAGTATGTGCTTGTGAAAAAAAGAAAGAGTATTAAAATGTGGTGGATTTTGCTTATATTTCCATGTTTATATGTCTAATTTTCAGAATAAAGCCTCTAGAAATTACTTCTCTTGCTCGATTGTTAGTGAAATCCAGATATATCTTTGGAGAGCAGGATAGATAATGGATGCTCATGTATACAGAAGTCACAATTCCTCTGTTGACTTCAATCCAAAAAATGACTGCTAAAAACATCCCTATGCCCAAATTTATTGACAAATCCTACGGATACATGCTGAGATTTCTTCCTATCTGATAAAAATGAACCAGTTTTCCCACACATCTGCCATATTTTTCTTCTTTCTTGTTTTGAATTCAGAAGGCTACAATCACTTTACTATATCACTTTTGCATGTGAATGCCATTCTGACTGAACTTTTTGCTTAATTATTGTTCCTTTGCCTAGTTTTGTTTTGCATATATATTATTTGCTTAGTATTATTCTGCCCAGTTCTTTTTCTTTCTTTTATTTTTATTGAGAACTTGCGTTTGTTGAGCATTTTGCTGACTGCACTAAACCATGACCAATTACTCCACAGTTAATCATGAAGAGAAGAAATATAATGAATTAAAATTAAGTTTTCAATATTCTCCTCTTCTCTTACTTTATCTCATCAGTATATTTTTTTATGATTTTTGTATAGCACCGTACTTACACAGAGAATAAGAAATTAGCATTTTTTTTTCTTTTTCTGTGTATAAAAACAACATCTTCAGAACCAACATCTTTTTTTTACTGACATCTATAGTCCAAGAATAGAGGAATGGAGATTCTCTACAAGTAAAATAATATCACTGGAAAGTATGTATTTGTCACAGCAATGTGTAGAGGGCAAAATTAAGGCAAAGTGAATGTTTCAAAAAGGCAGACATTACATAATTAACATCATTTAGTACTTAACAGATAAAGTAGCAAAAACCTTAACTTCCTTAACATCTATCAAAAGCATCTGGCAATTATAAGGAAAACTGAAAGGTTCAAGGTCAACCGATAAACTCTTCCAAGAAAAAAAGAAAAAATCTTCTAAAGTTTGGTCAGATTTTGGGAAATTGGTTAAGCTGAGAATTTTTTGATACTCTTTTGTACAATTTTTTTACAGTTAAAATTTTGAAAAATACTTTTTATCCTTAATGAGCCATATATTCCATTAGAGAGAGTGCAGTAACAGATTTTTTAGAAGATTTTCTTAGTAAATAGGACTGAAAAAAATATTTTATGCAAAATGGGAACCACAAGGAAATAGATAATTATAACCAGAAAGACACTGAGATTTTTAGAACATATAATGATATGTATAAATATATTACTCCACATTCTCATTATAAATAAACCAATAATGTTTATTACACTATGCTGCACAATTTACTCCTGTTTACCAACCATGATAATTTAGAAGCTATGATACTCAACAACTGAGACTTAATATTTTGAAACATTTTTTAGGGATTGATTCATTTTCTGTGGCTTATCAACTCTTTGCAGGTTATTTAAAGTCAGAAAATATTTTTAGATTGAAAGAATATTTTTTGCTGACATTAATGGTTTAGTGATACAAGTTTTACTAATTAACCCAGAGCTGGAAGGAAGAGGAGAATTCATACTTTTCCTAAGGGTATTTGCACATAAGCGAATATAACAAACCTAACTGGAATTGGAACTTGGCTTGCTGAGCCATTATCCATTACACCACCCACACATCTAAGCTTGCAACACCTGGTATTTCCAAGTGGTAACCCATCTAGGTACTGACCAGGCTCAATGTTGCTTAACTGGTAATTGTACAGGAACTGGTGTTTCAATGTAATAAGGCCATAAAGTCTTTATCGCAGTAAATCTTTTCTCAATATAGATTTTCTATAGCTGAAGCATTGAATGATTTTTAACCATTTGCTCACTATATTAACCCCAGAAATCAACACAATGGCAACTTGATCTAGCCATTACCATAATGATTGTACTCACTAAGTTTTCCTGACAATAGTAACGTGAGACTGAAGATAATTCTTGGTATTTTAGCTATTTTCAGTAGTGTCCTTTTGTGGATTTTTCTTTGCATTTCCAGTTACTTCAGCTGTTTTGCTCATCATTTCTGAATTGTTTTCAGTGCATCAAAAGCATATAGAACACCTGTCACCTTCATAGTCTCTCCAGCATTTTGTTTCTTTTTACTCCATAGTTTGCTGAACAGCAAAATCAGCCATCTGACATTTTTGTTTCTTGTTTATGGTAATTAGATCTTGTCTTCTGGTCTGAATTAGGTGGTCTTTTTGAATTCCAAACCACTGAAAGATTTTGTGTTTTTCATTTTCTAAGACAGATATGGGTTTGTGCATATACACTTGTCTGCATGATTAAATAGCATTTGTTTGTATACTTTCCAGTGGATTACCCTTCCCACTCAGTTGTATCTATTTTTATACCCTTTCTGAAGTAATTTCTGTATTCTGCTATTATTATTATAATATTTTATACATCTGCATGTTCACACCACATGTCTTACAATTACTGGTGATTAGGAGACAATAAAATGCCTCAAATCTGTAGCAAAAACTTTTGTATTTTTGCAGAACTCAGCACCACCATAGCTAAAAGTTTCAATTCTTCCTCAAATTTCCAATTTATCCAATATCAATTTTAGTTTCAGGTGTGCAAATTATTATAGGCAGGATTTTAATCTTTATTTTCAAACATTTCTAAATTCCTAATATTTTTAGGTTTTCACATTTTATCATCTTCACCCAGTGTGCTACTGACACAGACATGCCGTCAAACTGAATAGGTTCTTTTTATCTTTTTCCTTTGAGATGATATTTGGTTTTGATGGCAAAGTCCCAAATTATAATAATAATAATAATAAATAGTGTAGGACCTCTTATCTCCTGACAGTGTTCAGAAACTTAACATGCTATTGATTCCAAAAGATGTTGAAAGAACTTTGTTGAGTTTTGCTGTTTGATAATGTCCACATGTTCTTGATATTTGTAGGTGCGGTATCTTGCATGAGAGTAGACCTCTCTATCATGTCAGATAAATATTTGATTTGGCTCATGTCAGGTGAATGTGGTGACCACATCATCCATTGGAAGTTTTCAAAACACTCCTCTAGTCAATTCTGGACAACTTTGACCACTACCAGCCTACAGATTTATTTGAAAGTAGATGTAAAATATAGAGATATTTTCATGCAAACTTGAACTGCTAATGATATTATAGAACTTAAAGAAAATTTAAAATATGATTATGTTTGAAAATCGACTTTTGAAATAAATATTAAAAAAAGCCTTTCTAGATGTACTTATTGACAATAATTGTTGTAATTTCATCACTTCGTCATATAAAAAGTCATCTAGTTCCAATTCTTGCCTTCTAAATTATAAAAGTGAATGTCCCAAAAGAAGAAAAATTGCAATCATTAGCAATTTAATAAAAAGAGCTAAATTAATCTTCTCATCTAAAACAATATTTTTCAAATTAGTTAACACATATTAGTTTCCTTAATTGTATAGTTGACAATAATTTTAATAATATAAACTCTACTTCTACATAATATGAATTTTGACTATTTTATACATCAACAATGGCCATATTTGTGAAACCTTATTTTCACATTTGAAAAAAAGATCAATAAGTTTAATAGATATAAAATGCCTATTCCTTTTTATAAGACATATTCACAAGAACAATTGCAGTCAAAATATACCAAGTGATTATTAATTATTATTATATATTCATTGTTTTCACATGAGAGGTATCTGGTGAGTTCACTGTCAATCAGATGGCAGCAAGTTTCCTCAGTAATTTAGCACTCTCATCATTCTTGCTGATTTTAGTAATACTATTTTTAGATGGTTTTAATTCTTTCTCAGATTTCTAATAATGAAAATTGACCATGTGTGACGTTGTACCCCTTATATGGAAGGAGTTAAATATTAAATATTATTCTCATCTTTGTATTATACAGTTTTTTTTTTCTCAGGTCACTGCTCTGGTCCTTATATTTTTCCACTTTTGTATTCTTTGAATTTGATTCTTTGCTTGTTTTTAATAATTGTTATTTGACAGTTTTTTATTTATTTATTTATGATCACTTCATCTGATCTCCAAGATAGTCTTATAGATTTTATTTTTGATAATGAATTTTGATAAGCAAATCACTTATAGGCTATGTAATTCAAATCTTTGAAATTTAAACTTGATTGAAATAGCTTTCTAGATTATCATCAAAGTTGTGTAACTTATTTCAATGTCAGAAGTAATTTAACTTATAAGATAAAAATGAATATAAGTAATTTGAAAAAAAAAAACACCAGAATAAAGAGAACAGACTGATAATAGAGAAAGGTACAGAGAAAAAATATTAAAGAAAATCCAGTATTTAAATAACTTTCTGTCTAAAAATGATAAATTCTGTATCTAAAAATAGATTTATTGATCATATATTGCTGAGCTTTTAACTTTGATATAAAGGTGTTTAACTTAGCCAACAAATAAACAAAATTAGCTCACTTTATCATGTTTGCCTGTAAAATTGAATGTAATTAACATAAACTCATATATTAGCATTTATGAAATTATACAATAATATTAGAAAAATTTGTTACTGTTAAAATGCCAGTTTTACTTACAGGGAAGAATAGTTTTGTATCTGTTTTTGCCTCTATTCTTATCCGCATTAGCTGCATTGTGTTTATAAAGAAGGCCCTTTGGTAGTTTCTGTCAGATATAAAATATATTGAATGATAAAATAACAAGAACTGATGAAAAACAATTGAATGATAAAATAACAATATCTGATGAAAAAAAATGAATAATAAAATAAGATCTGATGAGATTAAATTTAATTTGTTTCTGTGTGGTTTATATATAAGCAGAAACATAAAAATATATATATGATTAATGTTGTCTCAATAATAATGTTGCCAGGATCTTTAGTAATTATAGGAATTATAATCTGAAATTTTCATTGTATAATGTTCTAGCTAGCCACAATGACTGATCCAAACAAACTATACAATATTCCTTACATTAAAACTCCACATTCTTACTTACCATTCTTACTACAACCACCATAATACCTCGAAAAGTCTCTACAAAGTCCTTACTGGTACAACTTGTTTGTGAGGGGTGGGAAATAATATAACAACATTTAAAAATGAAAACCACAATGAATATTTACAATGTGAATAATAATATATATATAGAAGAAATTAAACAAAATAATGTTAGCAATAACTCCTCTCCTCAATCTTTAATTTTGGCAGAAATATAAGTTAACTGGAATAAATTAATGTGGGACATGGATAAATTAAAACCAATCATTCGACCAATCACACACACAAATGCACACTTATTCAGACACAATGAAAAATATGAAAAACACTTGAAAAATGAAAGGTATCCAGCATCCACCAAAGAACTGCCATTTCTTGTCACCTAATGGGGGAGGGGAGGGGAATTAAACTAAACAAAGTTGATACAGAAAATAAAAGGGGCCAATGAGCATACATCTAGCTAAGTTAACTTAGTGTAAAAAATAAAAGCAAAACAAGCCTAAACTAACCTATTTTAGGTTGGGTTGCCAATGTTTAATACAGTGTTGCCAATATCCTGATGCCTAACCAGCATCAAAATATCACTCTAAGTAGCTCTTTTCACTAGACAAATATGTGCAAGACTTGCCCATCTTTTGCAAAATTCTGCTGGAGGTAATCGTCATCTTCCTGTCCTAATTTTGACTTTAAGCTGATGCTTAAAGCACAAGATCAATTGGGAAGAAGTAAACTTCTTGTCTCCATAGAATTCCTTCTGTCGTGTTGTCCATATGATGAATCTCATAACACTTAACAAGCACAAGAACAAATAGTGCTCAGCTTTAGTCAACAAAAGTACCACATTGCTTCAAACAGAAAAGGCCTAAGGGACAAAGTATTTTCTGTGCAGCATGCGAACTGTGTTGTCTTCAATAAACTTACACAATGGGGCTATGGCCTTACAGTGGAAGAAAGTATTATCCAATATCTTCATTGACCCACCACAGCAAATGCAGTTTAGAGAACTTATCAATCCCACGGAACAAAGTTTTGGGTCAGCCCAGAAAGCCTCTTGAAACATCAGCCAGGTGAGTAATGCATTATCATTAGTGAAGCATTTCAACCTAAGCATCCAAGGCCATATGGAGTGAGGCTCCTGCTTTGTTAAACCAAGCTTGTAAATCAGGCCATCTTGAATGAACTCCTTTAACACCTGATATAATGCCTTACAGTACAATGCCTGGATTTTGGAAAGACCAATCATCATCCATAAAAAGGACTTGAGAGCTAACTAGCATTCATGATAGGAGCACTCACTTGAGCTAAGCAGCAGACCTCCTACAAGTGCACACTTCTCAGAGATGAGAAGTTCTTACTGGCATCTTCCTTCCAGAATTTGCCACTCCCATCTGCTTGCAAACACATTCAGTCTTAGGACATGATGCAAAGTGTACGCTGATAAATCTCAATGCTAAGCATACCCAGATTACCCTCAGAAGGGTGGTGGTAACAGATCTCATGACATAACTTGGGAGCCTTGCCTACTCACAAGAAGGAGAACAAGACCCTAACTAATTGTATGCAAGAGTGGAAGTACAGATAGTTGGTAAAAGAGAATTGGGTAGATGTGTGAAGCACATACCTCTGTCTTCCCCTTTAAGGAAAGAACTAAAGATCAACTGTAACCTCGACCTTCCCCTGTACTTCTGACCAATTCATTACCAACAGGAGATTGGGATTGAACCAGATGCTGAGTATCTTGACCAGCCTGTCTGTTCAGAGGAAAGACGTGGGAAGAAAAACTCCCTTCCATGCACCCAACCACAAGCCAAAAGATTTATCATGATTGATCTTGGCCCCTGTCACTGTCTCATACCCTCTGATCTTTGCTGACTTTGTCAGTCTTGGCTCTGCTTGACATAAGAACTGAAACATCATCAGCATAGGAGTATCTGGCTGAGGTGGTAGCACCTGGTAAGGAGATTCCATGTAGGACTGAACTTGTAAAGGAAAGGCTCCAACACAAGAATGTAAAGCAAGGGCAAAAGCAAACAACCATGATGAATGGAATGAGACAACAGGAAAGGCTCCGATCATATTCCATTCACTTCTAACAGTGTACTGGGAGACACATATAGAAGTTGGATCTACATGCAAAAGTACAGCCTGAAACCGACGACCAAAAGAAAAGTCAACCAAATAGGCACCGAACTGGTGAATAGTTCTTGAAATTAGTCATAAAAAACCTGACATATGTCCACATTTGTAGTCACAGTCCACTTATCTGGCAATGGGATGCATGCAATATGCCTATTAGATGCATTTCTAACTTCTTCTGCATGCAGTTCAGCAGATATATTTGTTGCATCAGAAGACATTCTTTTTAACCTAACCTTAACTAAAAGAGCTTGATCCTGCTTGATAAATAAAAAGGCTATCTCTGCTATTTTCTACACTATCACAGAATTTTATCATCTGATCAACTTCAAATGCCATCTGTGATGCTAACCTAATTAGACTGAGTTGACAACTATAATCAGCAGCAAATGACCTAATTTTAGATTTCAGTACATCCCAACACTTATTCCCAACCACAACCCCACAACAATTCCTGCTGTAGCATTATTAGCAGCTTATCTTTGAAGTCTCACTCACCAAATAATGATACATTCAATTTTCTGTAGTCAGCCATCCTAATCTTAAGCTCATCAAAATTTACACGAACCTGGACCCCTTAAGGGCTCTAAATTGACTCTCTTAACTAGAATCGGTTGAGGTAGCTAGATCACATAACTGAAGCCAAGCTGCCCCTATTAGTCCAAGTCCACACTACCTCCTGGGAGGTGCTCATTATTATACTTATCAGAAAAATCGCTTATTATAATTAATAATAATTAAATATATTATTATTATTTATTGTTCATTATGATACTTATTGAACTTGTTGATAAAATCACAAAATAGCTTCACATTCGGGCTGTTAGTACCCACTCTATCCCCTATACAATCTATATCTGGGTCAATTCTAATTACCAGTTAAAACTACCTGACGAGATATCTTCAAAAATGGCTTGATTCACCAAAACAAATCAAACTTCTTCAAATGTACATTAGGCACATAAACCCCAATGAGACTAAGAGATTTATTCTTTATGGTAACATCCAGTATGCAAAGCCTGCCTGCTGGATCTGCAAAGACAGGAGTGCATGCCACATTCAAAGACTTGCTCACTCTTGAACATCCATCAAAACCGCTTAGACAAAATTTATTCACGGTTGTGAGTTAAAAACTGGGTCTCCTCTATGCAACATATATCCACACTGAGATGCTGAAGATCATGAATGAGACTCACCTTGTGAGACTCCAATCTAAAGCCTTGGCCATTTACACTAGCTAACCATAGAGACATTATCAGTCTGATTGGGAATCTGCTTTAAACATGGTTGAGGAAAAGACACCAACATCAACATTGACTCACTTCATTTTTAATGGAAACATCTAGGAAGAGACCACTAATGTCCCAGAGATATGTCAATTTAAAAGCTCTATAAAGAGAGTGGTGAATAAAACCTGGGGCCCTCCTTGAACAGAATTGTTGAATTTTTTGCTTTATTCTCAATTACTGCAATAGGTGGGGTGATTTCAAAAGTGTTGATGGCCTCCTTAAACATACCCCATATCTGCTGCATACCCGACCTAGTTTGAATTATGGTAAGCACTCTGTTGGTTTGGGGAAAACTCTGAGGATCTTTTATTTTGTGCTCACTGTATTTTTTAATAGACAAGAGGAATTTTAGTTCCTTTATCCTGTTGCCATAATTTCTTGCTCTCTTTGTCTGGGCTGCTGAAATATTGCAGACGTACTCCCCTAAATTCTATTGTAATTTGGATGTTTTCTTTCTTTTTTCCTTTGCCTCAACTGATTGGCTTCTTTGTTTTTGGGTGAATGACTGGGAATAGTGTTTGATAAGTGCATTTTTTTTCATGAAGGGACTGGTATTTCTGCTGAGCAGGATAATTATACATGAGGAAGAGAGTGTAGATGGTGATTTTTGCTTTGATTTTGCTACAGGGGAAAATGGGGTAGAGGCTGAGGGTTGTAATACCATTGATGAAGGTGATGAATTATTGAAGATTTGTTTCTGTAATTTTGCTTTAAGTTTTTTAATCCTTTCTCTTTTTTCATAGTAAGTGTCATATTTTTGTTGCAGATCCTGAAAAGAGGTCTTCTCTGAGGCTAGAGTGTCACCCTTAATGCTGGTAGAAGGAGTGGAGGTATGTGTGCCTTTAGTCTCTGGAGTTTCAGGAGACTGAGGCCCTGCTGTCTGATGCTTCCCCCTGACCATGCCAGCAAGCAGCCATTCCCCCTTTTCCTTCTCCACAACCACAAAAGTGGTAGGCAAAAGCTTTTCAGGGAATATGTGCCATGAACAGGACCCAACTGGGGGTTTTACCATTCCAGTTCCAGTTGCTGATATGCCCATTACAGGCAAGGCAGAAATAAGACACAGCTTGAGGTGGGGGTTATGTTCAGTTAGGGCTTGAACTAAAGAAGCCTTTTTCTCTGGACAGCATGCCAGCATTTTGGCCAGTCACTATGACATTTTCAAGCCCACTATATCGAGACAGTTGGGGATGGAGAGGAAGGCTTCCCAATTAAGCATGACATTGAAACTCTATCCCCCATTAAGGCTATTACAGGTTGCACCCATTATCTGTCCAAACTGTGACAAATACATAGCCAGATGCTCTTTGATAACCTGAAGAGGAACCTCAAATATTTCTACATTGGGCTATCACCTGCCTTCATACTTGGTTTGAATAACTAGGTCTTTTGTTATTAGTTCCTGACTTGAAGCCTTTATGTAGTCCTTTGGCATGGATAGAAATATGTTCCATGAATTTAATTTAATTTCAGCCCTTGAATTTAATTATTCTTTATTCTTTGTGGCTTAAGCCTCAGGGAATCAGTGATTTAACCACTGTGTCTTTCATGGTGTCTTCCAAGAGTTCATCTTTTTTTACAATGTGTGCATAACACTTAGCCCTTTCCAAAAACTCTGCAATATTGATTATACATTTAGGGTAGGGGGCTTCCAGCAAGAGAATGAATCCCCAGCCTCAGCATTGTCAATAATCTTCTTATTTTGAAATATTTCTTTTTCCATACATTCTTGGTCTTTGGTAATTTAGCTGTTATTGGCTTCCATACTTTTAATTTTTTCATTTTTGTTCAGGTTTATTTCAGCCTCCAAAACAAAAGGATTTTTGATGATCTTTCTTTTTCCTTTATTTGGTGGGTTCATATTAGAGGTGGTCCCAAATAAGTCTTCTAATAGACCAACATTTGTTAGCCATTTTGGTTTTTGAGATTTCATTTTTTTACATCACACCAACTCATGAATCAGAATAATATCTAAGAGAGCTGTTACATTCTTCTTAAAACCAGATCTTCTGATTTATGTTACACTAATTTTCACCACTGGCCAGATGTGAACGCTCCAAACACCAAAAACTAAACTAAAATTCCATCAACTGTGCAAGGCTATGCACATATTTTCTGCTTTACTTACATATTTAAAGAAAAATAAGCAGTACAATCTAGGATTTCCACCTAATAGCACTTGCTCCTACTGAAAGAAAAAAATAAAAACTGGAGCTGATTTTAACCTAATAAAGGACATAAAAGCCCATCAAAGAGACATTTTTAGCAGTTTTGGCCTGGGTTCACAGACTTCATCAGAATGCAACCTCCTATCTCTAAGAGACAGTTTGCCAAAGGCTGTCACTCCAGTAAGTCACAATACATCCCCCTCTTCTGCAGATGCCTTTTACAACTCCACATCTCTTTTATCAATGAGAAACATCTACACTGATTTATCATTGTTGCATTTTACATTAATACAATTGTTTATTTCTTTAAAACTTCATTGTTTCTTCTTTGTTCTACCATCATATGCTTATCATAACACAGGTTGATCCAACAAAACATTAGTTTTTATAACCTGGATGATGTAATTTCAATTTCTATGTGGGGTAACAATGTCAATTTTTTAGGTATCACCTCTTCCCAGGTCAGTTCATGTTATCATATCATTTTTATTTGTTTGTTTATTTATTCATAAAATATATTTAGTATATTTTTTGCCAAAATTGATAGCATTTTATTGATGTTGGGTTGTTTATTTTTATGCTTAATGCTTCTATTATTTTTTATTATTGGTAAGGATTTACTACATTTCTTGTGTTTTGTTATTGCGTTGGTTGGGGATATGTGATTCAACTAAATTATTACCAGAATAAATGGCTGGTTCATTGGTGTAGTAATGTATAAAATTTAACAAAAAAATGTACTGAATATATTCCATAAAAAAGACATGACAATATGAACTAAAGAAATAAAGATGCAATGCACTAGAAACTGACATTATACACAAATAATGTTAAATTTCTTGGAAAACAATAAACTGAAATAGTGCAAAAACATAACTCTTTGATGATGACTGATGAAAATTAAAAATACTCAAACATTGGAAAATTTATATTTAAGTTTTCACTAGAAACGAGGAAAATTATCTGAAATATAGAAAAAGAAATAAAGAAATCCTTGACAAAATACCTTCATAGATTTTTAACCAAACTTGGATAAATTTGCTACCCAAACACACACACACACACACACACACACACACACACACACACACACACACACACACACACACAATTTGGAAGTTTATCACTTAGCTGAGTGGCGTTGGTTCAATCATGCCTACTACATATACTACATAGTGTTGTGAGCATGTCAAGATAATATGTTCACTCTTCAGGGCTTGTTGTCTTCTCTGCTGCTATTCTTTTGCTGTATTTATGTTTTTTCATTACATGTGTGTTGTTGTTATTACTTAAGTATTGTGGTGACCTCAATACAAAAAAAATACAAACACCAAGAAACCCCATGCTACTTAAGTAATAACAACAACACCCATTAAGTGAAAAACCACACACCTATAAAAAGATATAAAATTACACCAAACCATGCAAAAATATGGCAAAATTGAAAAATAGGAGCAAAGACAAGCCCAAATTGGAGACATCAAAAGCAAACAAGTACAACAATTTAAATATCTGGAAAGTGTTTTAAGAGAGGACAGAAAGTGTGACACTAAAATCTGGAGCCACATTGGGAGTGTGAAAGATGCCTGCCAAACTCTAGGCAAAGTATTAAGAATCAGAAATTTTGCTGGAAACAAAGAAAAGAGGTCCTGAACTATTATGTAATATCAGGCCTCATATATGGTAGTGAATGCTGGACAATCTCCTCAGATGAAGAAGAGACTTGAAGCAATAGAAATGTCATACCACATGAGGATGCTGAGAATATCATAGACTGAACATGTGAGCAATGATGAAGTTTTAGAGAAAATGGAAACGAAAAGGACACTTATATTTAACATCAGGAAGATTTAGTTGAAATTTCTAGGCCACATAGAGGGCTTGGTAAATTTGATACTCACAGGATTGATTGAAGGCAAGAGGAAAATTGAGGAAAATGCATAACCAAGTTACCTAGCAGACTTGAGTAAATAGATAATGGAACAAAATTTGGGAGAGATAAAAAGACAAAATTTATTAGATATTAGATAGATATCTAGGAATACATTAATGGTAGAAAGTAATATGAAATGAGTTTGATAAAAATACAAAGTGATAGAGATAAATATGTAAAGGGAAATATCAATTTTGACAAGATGTACAAGTAAAATGCTATTGAAGTGTAAAAAATATAGTTATAGCAAACCAGAAATTCTTCTGCAAATGGTAAATCTTCCTTTTTCTTCTTCTTAACATAAGAAAAAATATTATCTTTGGTGATTTCAATTGTCTTATTTTGCATATATTCAGTGTTCATGTAAATATTTTCTTCATTATTCACTGGCTCTGTATTTTTTTGATTGTCGTCATCATTGATGTTGTCATCAACTGTGGCACAAAAATAAAGCATTTTTGTTAAAAACTACATGATTATTTATACATGCACAGTTATATATGCATTTAGGTGTGTCTGCAAATTTATTTGTATATGAAATACATATTATATTGGATAATATAATTAATATTATTATATAACGTGTTTAACTTGTTTATTATGAAAAGTATGTGATTTTTTATCTACAGGTTTATATGCAGTTACGTGTAGCTGTAAATTCATTTGTATATGAAATACATATATAGGATGGCATACAAAACTCATAAAGGTACATCAAACATTTATCCAATTGAGCATTTGTGAAAAGAGCTGAAGACATGAAGAATGGGGGTGATGCTTTTCAGATTTAAGGAGACCTTTACAGAAGAGAGTGAGCCGAAATCCCTGTTGGGATTTGTCAAAATCTGATGACGTATGAGAACCAGTTATAGGGTGTGATAGCTAATGAAAGCATTGCAAATAATTATTAAGCTGAATAATTCTGATATCTATCTATCTATGTGTAAGTGCATGCATATGCATATGTACATGTGTGTGCACATTTGTATATAACAAATGTTTTAGTATTGACAAGCTCCAGGGAATTTACCCTGAGGAGCGAAATGGCCATAAAAATGGAGTACAATTGAGTTTCATTTTTATGTAATTCATTTCTATGCTCTATAATAAATATACTGAGCTCTCTTTTGAGGATCAGGTCTAATATTTTATATTAATAGGATTTGCTTGGAATACTTACCCATAGATTTTTACCTATCTCTCTCTCTCTCTATATATATATATATATGTATATAAAATGTGTGTGTGTGTGTGTGTGTATATATATATATATATATATATATATATATATATATAAAATGTGTGTGTGTGTGTGTATATATATATATATATATATATAAAATATGTGTGTGTGTATATATATATATATATATATATATATATATATATATATATATACATAAAATATGTGTATATATATATATATAGAGAGAGAGAGAGAGCGATAGGTATGCATGCAAATAGAATAAATTTTAGCAAATATTTGACTTTCTTTGTATGTGCTTGAATAGTGTAATATTAATTGTTTTGTTGCATTTGCAAGCATAATAAGTAAGAAACGAGCATTCTTAATTTGTTGAAATTTGTTGAAGTTCATTTTTACACTTATCACTCATGATGTAACAAGAACATGCACAAATAAGTCTGAGGGAGATAGAGAATATGAAAGTGAATTCTGCTACATCAATATATGCATCGTACTACCATAACTTGATGGAAGTTGATCTATCTTTCTATATATTTCACTCTATCCATATCTATCAATCTATTTCACTCTGTTCATATCTAACTATTTCACTCTATTCAAATCTATCTCTCTATTTCACTTTGTTTATATTTATGTATCTCACTCTATTCATATATATTTCATTCTGCTTCATCTATTTCCATTTCTGTCTATTTCATGCTGTTTATGTCTATCTCTCTATTTCAGTCTGTTCATATTTGATGGAATAAAAGACTTGCTATTTACATTTAATCTTGCAGTATTATGGAATCCTGGTAAACATTCACCTACCAGATATTTCAACTTTGTATATTAGATTGGGGAGATATTTTTGAGTTACACATTTATTGAATCATATATATAAGCTGTAACAAAGAAATTTTTACACTACAAAGGCATTATTCATATTCATTTGATTTTTCTTGCAAATACTAACATTACTGATTTAAGCATAGGTGCTTCACAAGTTCTCTTTTGATATTATCTGGTCTGTCACTCTTTAAAAACTAGCTACCCAGTTAGCTATACCAAATAGTATTCTGCAAAATCGATAGTTTGCTGCTGACCTTGAAGGCAATATAGGGCTATCACTGGGTTTTTTAGCCACCTGATGGTAGCATGTTTTTAGCTATTTCTACTAACATATCATCTGTTCTTGGCATAGAGTAAGCATCCAGCAAAGTGAACCAGTTTATTGTTTGGAAATAGTTGATTACCATTTGTTTTGTTTTTTTTCTGTTCTCAGAGGAGACTATGAAGGCTTGGGTTCACCACAGTGAATTGTTGGGTTCAATTATTCTGTAGAATCAATGTGATACTCGCCTTTGCAAGAAGATTCCAAACCAGACAGACAGGGGTGAGCTAGCTGTAATTCAACACAGCTCTGTACTCGAGCAAACATAATGGTGAATGATGGATATTTATCTAACACAATATTCACACTAGAACCAGCAGCCAACCAGGACTCAGAGAATGGGAATGCCTAAGTGGCAGAATAGAACATTCCAGTTTGCCACATACCAGCTGTTCTAACTTCTGGGTACCAGAGAGCTTGCAATACAGATTTCAAGTCATCTGCTAGCCCGTGAGTATATTGGTTTTGTTTGTGGAATCTTTATTCAGTTACGGCCCATTTATTTTTGTCTGGCAAGTGGAAATGAGTTGTAGCTTTCTGCAACAGAAATCTACATATATAGACTACACCTAAGAAGTGAGTTTTTTCTTTGATGTTTTATATTGTTTAGTGTTTGTCATCATTGTTTATTGTACTCTGCTCTGTTTTGATTGGCAACTGCTTGTTTAAACATATCAGGGGAATAACCCTTCATTATGACAGGGGTTTCCCAGGAAAAATAGTCATTGACCACAAATCCAGTGACTCCATCAACATCTGCTTGGGTGGCAGAAAAGCACAAGAAAAGGCCAGAGTACTATAGCCATCTGAGAGAAGAATACAGCAAATACATTTCAGGAAATGAACTGATTGCAGTGCCATCAGCGATGGAGGTGGTCACTGCTAAAACCATCCCTCTGTTAACAACAGATGTAAAAACTAAAAAAATTATTTCTGTCAACAGGAAGATGATAGAAGAGGCCTTAAATATTGCCATTAAAGTGTTGGCTCACAGATCGAATGCCATATTGAACACCCTGCTGGCAACAGAAGCAGCAGCTAAGGCATTGGCTTGCAACTTCCTTACCACCAAATCCATCCATCTCCAAACTGAGTACATGGGCACCAGGAAGACCAGGATTACCTTACATGGGGTTCCCATGTACATCACTGAGGACCATGTGGGTGTCTATTTATTAGTGGATGAGGTTTCCACCAGTGACATCAAACTGATGGTGACCCTAACCAGAAAAAATTTAAAGGATGTCCTGAATGTGCTCACATGTGGTGGGTGAAACATCTATGTGATGGTGGAGGGGCTGTAAAGAAGCCTATTTCCAGCGTCTGTGTCTTATGGGGTGGGGCTGAGATAGCCACATATGGCAAATCATTGACATGCCTCATGGTTGGTTTTTCCATGCTGTGTTTTGATGGATGACTCAATTTTGGCTGGGAGTGTTAGGGATGCCTTCTTAAGCACTTCTCCCATTTCTTGAGCTAAGCACTGTCATGGTTATAGAAGGTAGTTGAGTTTCCATAGTGAGTATTGATCGTCTTTGAAGGTCTTATCTCAGTCCAATGACCTTTCGGAGCCTCAGAGGCTATTGTATTGTGAATTAGTGAAAGGGGTCGTGAAGTATCCTCTACGTGGCTGGTTCAGCTTGTTGGCATCAGAGTTGCGCTCTTTCTGGTCTTGGGCTCCAGCGGTAGATTATCTCAGCAACCCTGAGTTTTTGCTTTGCTGGGATTTGATTTGGAATGTGCTACCTCTCAATGATGTAACCTTCAGCTTTAATCTACTCAGTATGTCAACAGAGGTCTCCTGAATATACGTTTTCAGGACAGATCCATTAATGGGGGGAGATATATCATAACACACTACTTACCAATATTTAGTGGTATTCGTCTGTTTATCAGTATTTAGTGGTATTCTTTTGCTTACCAATGCTTAGTGATATTCTGCTGCTAAACAATATGTTGTGATGTAGAGGTTAGCACTCTAATCAGCCGCTAAGCTCGTTTTACTGCTTCGTTATTCTCAGTGACCATTTATATGAGTGTTCACTTGTGCTTATGCAAATTATGCCTACTAATTTGCTAGTGTCACTACCCAATATTTAGTGGTATCTTTCTACTTACTAATATTTAACAGTATTATTCAGCCTACCAATAATCAGTAGCATTCTTTTGCTTACCAATACTTAGTGGTATTCTTCTGCTTACCAATATTTTGTGGTAGTCTGCTGCTTAAGATTTTCCCAGTATTCTGTTGCCTCATCTCCAAAATATAAATCATTGTTTTTTAATTCTGAATCTTTATTTTCATTCCTTTTATCTTTATTCCTTGATGCCCAAAATTCAAGTTAATTTTCTTGAAATGCTGTAACATTTTCCCACTACTGTAGCATAGCTTCTCTGTGACTTTTCTATAAATATTTTCATGGTAATCATTCTGATGAACTTTCCTTTATGGTACTTAGACATTATGAATTTAAGTGCAGTACTAGATTCATAGCAAGGTCTCATCATTTCACAGTTGAAATGGCTAGATGTAACCCTAAGTTCTATGCTAACAATTTGCTTGTAGAATTATCTTCTGATTTCTTGTTTTCCATTTAAGCTTGATTTCCAAAAATTTAAATGCAATGCCAATCATTATCTTCTGTCTTCTTGATTCCTGTTCTTTTATTGTTCTCCCCACTTTAATATTGTTTTTTCTTATATTCTCTTATTCTCAATAACCTCTTGTGTCTTAGTGGGCATTATTGCCTTGCTTGAGGGTGAAATGATTAAAAAAAACTACCACAGAATAAGGAAAATTTGTGTGCATTCTTGTAGGAGTTTAAAATAGAAAACAAGAAAAAATCATAAAAGAATAGATATCTTTTTTTAAAAGTTATTTAGCTCAGTTCATATGACATATATTAGTACATATTTATGTACATATGTAAATATATAATATAATTTTACCAGAATTCATTTCTATGTTTTCTTGCAATGAAACCTTTGGCATAATTAATGATGTATCCTTTTTTTTCCTTTTTGATCTTTTAACTCTGAAAGTAAAAATCAAGCAATACCATAAATTTAAAAAGAAATGTAGGTAAAATTAGTTTATTTAGGTTGTTTTTCATTTATATATTTGTAATTTTCACCTCTAAAACATTTTTTTATTAAAAGATGTGAAGATTTCATTTTCACAAATGGACTGATTTTAACAATTTTGAATTGTATAAAGAGAAAATTTTGGCTTAAAAATAGAGAATTATGTCTTTTCACACAAATACACACAATTCAAACTTTAAGGCAAGAACAAAGAAGTTTTAAAATTTTCATTCCTCAGTCTGGAGATGCATATATTTAAATCTAAATATCAATATTTTAGTTAACTTGAAAAGTAAATTATAGTAATGTAAAACTGGCCGTTTCCTTATAAGAAAACATGTGGCATTCATTGACAGAGCAACTAGTTCTGCATTCAGTATAATAGTATAATAGGTAAAGAGGTAGTGTAACTGTGACAACATTGGACATAGATCACAGAATGATTGGTTGGGCCAGAAAGATAGGATGCACTACATTTTAGGTAGCAACTGCTCCGTTTTTGTGGGATTAAGACAAGCATCTGTGGTATATGAAAACTGTGAGCACCCACAGATGATGCAAGAATGGTGACTGACAAGAATGATAAACCCCTAGTAAAGAGTAAAATTGCACAAAATTACTTTCCAATTCATTGCTGTATTGTTCAGCTTATAAGTCATTGCAGTGAACAGTATACACTGTATTCCATGGTATCTGGTAATCATTGACCAACAAAAATACCATTACTAACAGCATGGCATTGGTTACTACATTTCACCTGGTCCATCGCCATTGGACTCTGGGAAACTGTCTCAGTGTCACCTGGTCAGATGAGTCACATTTTGAACTCTTTTGGGTAGCTAAATGAATTTGCATATGGAAGAGTCTGCTTGAGCCTATAGATTCAAACTATCAATAGGGTGATGTTCTAGGTGGTGTTGACACTTCAATAGAGTATATTGCTTTGAACTCCACAAAGACCAGTAGGTTTAACTGATCCATATACTAAAGTATTTAAAGTATTTGGAACTTATCAATTCCATATTCTGATTTTTTATGATGGAACCAGTGTAGGTGTTATCATTATTCTCATTCCAATTCCATAATTTGTGTTTTAGAGAGGTTATCTTGATTCCTACTTCTTGAAACACTTGGTATAGAATATTGAACTTTTGTTCAAGATTATTCTAATCCTAACTATGAACACTTATGTCATTGACATAGCCACTGCCACGAGGTTTGAAATAAGTTGATTTTGGGCTCTTTAACATACAGGATTGTAAGAGAAATGGAAATCTATTGATTTGATCATATGCTTCAAAGAGATAAACATTCCAGGTGCAAACATTTCTATTTGATAAATACACTGTTTCATGAAATTGTTTAATGATGTATGACATCATTGCATCCCTTAACAGAATGAAAAACGAAAATTCAGTTGAGTTCATTACATTCACTTACATACAAATACCCTTGGGTAAGGTATGAATATTTCTTCTACCTTCTGCTGTGAGTAAATAGCAGGATAGACTTGGTTCTATAGCTTTGGGTAGCAACCAGTCTAGGAGAAGGACAAATCTGAATTCAAAACCTGAGTGGTCAGTGACTAAACTGACTCTCCCACCAGACACCGGTCTGGTGAGGAGGGCAAGTGGAACACCCAAAAGCACAAAAACAAAAGCTGATAAAAGGGGCGAGTCAATAGCCATGCATCCCAACTATGGATTAAATAGCCTCACCAACTCACAATTGGCCAAGTATGGTGAGTATGGCTACACTCTTGAAGACATGGTCAATCGGATTGGAGGTGGGTCCTCTAACAGAAGTGAGTAGATTCTGGATTTGGATTTGGACTTTCAACATAATGGAACCAATTGAGATACTTCCATACATGTGAAGATCTTCAAGATTACTTTTTTTTTCCAAACGGTATTTATACATGACATAACTCATTAATCAGAGAGTGATTTTGATTCCAGACTTCTTTCATAAAACTGATAAATTTACTTTTGAATTCAGGAACAAAGTAAGCTACATTCAAGACTCCAGTTTCAATTCCAAATGAGGTATCATTATTTTTTAATAGTTTTATTGCTTTTTCATTTGGTTCATTGTTAATTATGTTTTAAAGTGATACATTATCAAGTAGTTATCTCTAATTTTTAGTACTTCAGTTTATATAAATAGTAAAACCAATTCCTGAATGGAAAAATTAGAAGCAAATCTTCAATCAATCCTTGAATTTGGATATCAAAGGCTGTTTAATCCTCTGGGGACATTTACATTTGTTCCTTACAGTCATAAAGGTAAGTAGATAGGTACAGGTATTTATCTGCATCTTCATGAGGATAAATAAAATTTAAGTTCAGGATTAATGTGGGGTTTGAAAGGCCAAAGGAAGACATTGATCAATTCCATGTGGCTTTTACTGGAGGTATTAAATCATATCTCTGATTCTACCTTGTTAGTGCAATGGGCAGGTAATGCATGGAACATAATTACTTATCGCTGAGACACAACTGATTATAGCCAAAAAACTACAATTGTAGAAGGGGTATAATGCTAATGTGAACAATGAGGCAACAGTTATCATAAAATTTTGTAAATATTGTTTTGGGGGAATTTTATTTTTTCATATTTTTTTTATTATAGACTAAGAAACGTAATTTTTTAAAGCCAAAAAAATACTCACATTTGAGATAAATCTGAAGTTTGTGCCTTAATCTAAATATCTGGTGCCTTGGCAGAAAACAAAATTCCTAAATCATTCAGTGAGAAATTAACCTTACTATCAAGAGCTTGCAATTGCAAAGTTCACCTGACATTTATAATAAGTATTGCTTGAGAATAAATATATGTTTTTTAGTAATTTATTGATAGGTGAAAAGAAAATTATTGTTAGGAAATGGAACAGAAATACTTACTTAAAGTATATTATAAGTCCCACAATGACAATCCCTATTATCACTAATCCAATAATTATTGGTATGTAGATATTAAATTTGGCTGAAAGAAAAATTGAAATGGTGGATTTGAAAAATATAATTTTAACAGAGGATGCATAAGCATATTATAATGATAAATTTTACTTTCTTCAAATATACTGAAAATATCAGATCACTGGAAAATTTTGAGCCTGATATTCATTGTTAATATAGTTAGAATTTGTTGACTGTTAATGTTTTGTCCACAAGTGAATGCATTAAAGATGGAGGATAAAAAGTTGCACTTTTGCCATATTATGCTCTATGAATTTTGGAAAGGAGTAAGATTCAGAACTGCAATAAAAAAAACAATCAGAAGTTTTCTTTGCACAAACTTTTGCAATGAGATGATGATTGCATTTGCTATGAAATATTTTAAAATCATACATATTTTTTTTCATTGTATGGTTATAAAAATGTCTTATACATGATAATCAAAAACCAGTATACAAAATGTTATCATAATTAAGATATATCCAAATTAAGTTAAAATATCACACATCAAAATAAAATGAAAAAAATCTGTTTTTACATTTACTTACATTTCTGACAGTTTGCCACTAAGAAATAATTTTTCTCTTAAATCTTCATCTCTTAGACAATAGAAACCTAAAAAACTGATAGGATCTGCCAAATGAAATCTCCAAGACAGATATTCTGGTTGTGCAAGATAAGAACCATTTATTCTTTGGAGATGGTAAATTCATCATAAACAACAAATTCAATCTATTATCATGAATCATAACAGGAAACTAACTTTTTGTCCTTTGTTTTTCAGACAGATGTTCTTTGATAGCAGTGCTCATCTTACAGCTAGTTATATTATGATATAGGGTCAGATCAGGTGAGAGGTTATGATATAGGGTCAGATCAGGTGAGAGGTCAGTGACAAATATATGTGCCAAAGGTGACTAACATGCTGTGTTCATCTTTGAGGTAACTATACTAATTAGAAATCATTTCATTTTTTTTTTTAAATGTAGATTTGATTGCTCAAATAATCATTGGATTTTAATAAAATTTTCAATAATTATTCAATTAAGAATGAATTTCCTTATGAAAAGAGTATTTTGTAAAACTGTGAAAATTAAAATTTAATTTTATACAAATCTCGATAAATTATCATTTGGATGATACAAATATTTACTTTAAAATGAAGATAAGTCTGTAGGGAAATTAATCAAAATTTTTTTCAAAATTTCCATCAGAAACATCGAAAATATGCCCTGAATTAAAAATAAAAATTATAATAAATGTAAACTATTGTTTTGTTTGTATATGATTTGCAATAGCTTTTCTCATGAATATATATCATGAACTTTTGGCTTGTAGAAAAGTATTTGCTGAAAAATTCATTTTTGAAAGATTTATTTTTTAAAAAATTGTTGAGTAAACTTCATGAGTAAATGTTTTTTGTTCCATTTTTTCAACTATATACATCTGTGAAATAATTAGGTTACCAAAATAGTCTGAAATTTTTATGTTTTATTTTAGAAAGTAATGACATCATAGTGTTTGCCCTGTAGTAATAACCACCTTACGCCATAGCCAAATATATTAATGAAATATGATTAAGAGAGACTATGGAATCATAAAAATGAGAAATCAGGAACCATTAGATGAATACTTAATAGAGCTGCAATAATGTGGTGACGAAAATAAATCAGATTAGTACATGAATATAACATGATATGATTGATAATTATGATGAGGATGACCAGCAAATGAAGAATTGTTGTATGAGATGTTAAACTGCCAAAATTTATGACAACAATATATTTTGTGATAGAAGTCACAGACTGTCAGAATGTTAATAAAAGCACAATAACTGATGGAAATTAATTCATCTGATTGTGAGGAGGCAATTATTGTTTTCAGAATCAAGAATGGAACAGAAGATATAATCATATGATGATTGATGATGAGGATATCATGAATTGAACAATAGCACCTGCAATTGTACACTGCAATGAAACATAATATCTGACAACTTGAACATAATATCAGTTCATTCATTATTAATTGGCAGTCCAATGACTGAGTAAACCAATTACAATAAAACCATCCAAACACACTATTTCTAACATACAACATATCTAAGACCTATAATCAGAAATGATTATATCAATTATTGGTAAATGGGATAAATATAACAAAGGTTTTTTTCATATTCTACTCTAAAAAGTCATTTAAGCTTATTATAAAATTTTATCCATTACTCAAATGACAGTTCCTAACCAGAATTGACTGTCCCAATTAAACAGTTCTAAAGCACTCATGGTTATCTGTCTTTGATACATTAAAGTATTAAAAATAAATGGATATTTTTAGATTAAAATTGCATTAAATTTATGACATTTTATTTAATAGTTAATCTCTGTCCTTGCCTATGACAGAATATTGTATTAAATATTGTCTAATGTCAGTGTGAAATTTTGTGGTATGCTAGTGTTTTTCTCTGTTATTATGTCTCCCATAATGCTTTTTTTACCAAATATACTGGGTTGAAACAGAAGTTTATACCTTTTTTAACATTTTAACTGCCAGAGGTCAATTCCAAAATCTGTCTTCAAATATAAACTTTATAATGGTCAACTTAGGTAATTAAATTTTTTAAAGTCTTACTTATGTGTTATTTTTTCAGTAAATTTTTCCCATAAAATGTTTGTTTTTAGTTGCCAGTATGATTTTTCACTTCTGCCTTAGATGCCAGGTACCAGTTCCATCCTCCAAGAATTTGGCATCTTCCTGATTGATGAACTAGTCTGGTTTAAGTGGTTTTTACAGGCTTCCAGAAAATTTAAGTAGTTCTCATTAAAAGAATTTTGTAGGAATTGAAATAAGCAGTAATGTAAAGGTGAAAGTTCAGGTGAGTATGGTGAATGTATTCAGACATCCCAGCCAAACTGTACCAATTCTGACCAGGCCTGCAAAAAGATTGGACAATTTTAGATGCTTTTCATCATTTGTGGCCTTCAATTAATCAAATTGTGAAGAGTTATTGTTGGAATTTATTATCTGATCTTGTAGAAAGAGATCATAACAGATAATGCTTATCAATCCCATCAGATATGCAGCATTACCTTTTTGGATGCAGATTGTCATTTGCAATAGTTAATAGTGGTTCATTTCATTTTTCCAAAACTTTTTCATTCCACATTGTTGTAAACAATACATTTTTCATCACTTGTGATTTTCCTATTCAAAAAAAGAATTGCAAGTGGAAATGCATTTCATTAATTTTTTCTGTTACATCATAAGGCACTCAAACATGGCATGTTTTGAAGTATTTTTCAAATGCTTTATTATGCTTATATGGAATATGTGGTGCATCTCTGGTTGATGTTTTGTTTCATATGACCTAGATTATTTTTAATCATTGTTTGAATCTAACAATTCTAAATGGCTGCAGGCCTGCCAGATTTCCAGAATGGTGTTCCAAATTAAAATTTCCACTTCTGATGTTAGTGAAACACTTCTGAACATTACTCTCAGTTATGGCAGTGTCTCCATAAACAGCATATAGCTTTTTGCTGTTTGTACTACATTTTTTTCCTTTTTAGAAATAATAACTTGAAATAATAAAAATTCATTGATTTTTCCAACCAAATAGATGATGTCATTTGAAATAAAAAAACAAAAACAAAAACAAACAAACAATATACTTACATTCCTGACAGGTGGGTCCTTTGTAGCCTGCTTCACATCCCTCAGATCCACAGCTTCCATTCTTATGATTACAATTATTATTGTTTTTACAGTGACATGTCTGCAAGCATCCTTCACCAAAAGTACCAGTTGAACAAGCTTTTAAGAAATTCAGAGAAATATACAATTTTATTTGCAATATCTACTAAAATACTTCTATAAACATTTATATTTTTACTCAAATCAGAATATATATAAAAAGACACTTGAAAAAGAATGACGAAAAGATAAAAAGCAAAAGTAATGTACTCACATTCTTGACAGTTGGATCCTTTGTAGCCTGCTTCACATCCTTCAGGTCTACAATTTCCATATTTTTTATTGCAATTTATGTTGGTCTTACAGTGGCATGTCTGAGAACATCCTTCACCAAATGTACCAATTTCACAAGCTATTAAAACATATTTGAGATAATATTTTTAAAAGGGTGAAATTGCTTTCCAGAGTTGTTTTACCTTTTCGCACTTCTATAAAACAATTTATAAACTGAAGCTTTCTAGTACTACATGTCTAGCAGGCAATATCATACATGAATTTGCAACATATATTGGCTAAGTATTCCACTTGTATTTGATTTGATTTGATACAGAACTGAAAATCCTATATCTATATTTAATAAAACATAATGTTTTTTTTTTAATTTTTTCATTGTTGATTTTTGCAAGAGTAAATGTACATGATTTAATTTGGAATAAAATTGACTAACAAAAAATATACTTACATTCCTGACAGGTGGGTCCTTTGTAGCCTGCTTCACACCCCACATTTCCACAGCTTCCATTCTTATGATCACAATTATTATTGTTTTTACAGTGACATTTCTGTGAGCATCCTTCACCAAAAGTACCAGTTGAACAAGCTTTTAAGAAATTCAAAGAAATATACAATTTTATTTGCAATATCTACTAAAATACTTCTATAAACATTCATATTTTTACTCAAATCAGAATATATATAAAAAAGACAGCTTATGCCATATTCTTTATACACTTGAAAAAGAATGATGAAAAGATAAAAAGCAAAAGTAATGTACTCACGTTCTTGACAGTTGGATCCTTTGTAACCTGCTTCACATCCTTCAGGTATACAATTTCCATTTGTTTTATTGCAATTTATGTTGTTCTTACAGTGGCATGTCTGAGAACATTCTTCACCAAATGTACCAATTTCACAAGCTATTAAAACATATTTGAGATAATATTATTAAAAGGCTGAAATTGCTTTCCAAAGTTGTTTTATTTCTATAAAACAATTTACAAACTGAAGCTTTCTTGCAATATATGTATATCAGGCAATATCATACATGAGTTTGTGACATATACTATACAAGTATTCCAACAACCATGCTTATCGGAGGCAGGGAAATTTCTCTATAGTGAGTAAATGAGAGCAGTTTCGTTTTGGATGCATTAAAATTCACAAGCCATTTCCTGCCCCAGTCAATCATAGATGAGGTCATTTTCAAGACCAACAGCCTGGTTAACTTTGTCAGCAATGCCAGATTTACTATTGGGACAGGAGTAAATGGTAGTGTCTGTGTAGATGCCGACTTGAGAACTGATGACATCAAGAAGATCATTGATGAAAATCAGAAACAGTGTAGAACCAAGGATATTGCCTTGACAAACATCAGCGTTCATATGGAAGGAACTAGAAGAGAACCTGTTCAGGACATCCTTCATTTTACAGTTAGACAAAAATGATTGGATTAAATCAAATAATCATCCTGTAATACCGTATCCTTGTAGCTTATGTAGAAGGCCAGCATGCCAAACCCTGACAAACACCTTTGATATAGCTAGAGCAACAGCTTGAGCTTAGAAGTTATTATCAAGAGCTTGGTATACATATTCAGTTATGGCTGTATGCATATCAGCAGTAGATCAGGCAAAGCAGAAACTATATTGTTTGTCAGAGAGCAGATCATGGGCAGTGGGATACTTAACTACTTCAGCATTGATTAAAACCTTGAAGACTTTGCCGAAGAGTGGTAGAAGACTGATGGGATGATAGTTAGATGGATCAGAAGAGGCTCTGAAGTTCTTAAAGATTGGGATTACAGAGGAGGTCTTCCAAGAGGCAAGAAAGCAAGAATCGGCAAGGCAATAGTTGTAGAGTTTGGAGAAAACTGGAGCCAACTCAGGGGTACATTTCTTTAGGAGTGGTATCCTGTCAACACCACTTGCTTTATGTGAGTCTAATTTAGAGATTATGTCAAATACCATTGACTGGGTTATGCGCATTTCACTCAGTTCTAGGGGGAAAATCAGGTGTGGGTATCCCAGATGAGTTGTGTATTGAGTTGGATGAGAATTTCCAAGCAAAGCATTCGGCCTTATCAACTGAGGTTGTTAGAACTTTGAATTGATTGAATAGAAGGGGGATTGAGGATTTGCTGTAGTTCAGCACACTCTCACAGAGCCATCAATAACCTTTAGAACAAAACTTGTGAGATGCAATATGTTGTTTCACCTTATCAGCAAACACGATTGCTTCATTGAGGAAATGCTTGCACTTATTATGAGCAGAAACAACGAGACGTCTGTTGCAATCAGACATGTTGCTCTGGTATAGACAGAAGAAGTGATTCCTATGGGCTGTAGTGGCAGAGTAAGCAGGTGAGAACCAAGGAGATGAGTGTGATTTAACTTGGTGTTTTGTTGCTGGGATGAAAGCCTCGATGCAGGCTTTAACTCAGGAGAAGACCTCAAATCTACATTTTTGTATAGGATGATTAAAACCATACTCCAAGGAACATCGCGAAGGAAATCATGGAATGAGTTCCACTCTGCCCATTGATAACAGAAAGATATTCTGTTAGTAGGAGGTTCATGGCTAGTGGGGGAGTGGAAGGAGATGTAAACAGATGCCACTGCATGATCAGAGTTGCCAAGAGGGCACAGCTGTGTAGTGCGACCAAAATCAGAGATGGAGGTAAAACAGAGATTGAGAAGGGAAGTATTACTATCTGGATTACTGGGGAAATGCATAGAAAAGTCAACCACTTGCGTGAAGGATTGAGTGATTGAAAAGTTAGGGGTTTGGATGCCAGCAAAGTCAGTCACAGACTGTGTAAGCCACATGGTATGGTGGGCATTAAAGTCACTGAATAAAAATATGTTTGTAAATAGATGTAGAGAGAGAGCTTTGTCTATATTATAAGAAATGCTATCAGGTACACAACAGTCTTGAAAGGAAGGGGAATGGTAGAGAAAGAAGAGATAGCTTACTGAATTGATGATATATATATATATATATATATATATATATATATATATATATATATATATATATATATGAATGGTCTGGAGATTCCAAAGAGATTTCTCTAGCTAGTGGGAGATAATTGCGGACATAAACTCCCAGATCATGCATGTGGATTTTAGAGTCCTTTCTAAGGAGAGGAAGGTAGTCATGACTTGAAAAATCAGAAGGGATTCACCAGTTAAGGTTAGTCTCACAGAGTTAGTATATCAGGTGACTTATCAAAAGGAATGATTCCACACTGCAGAAGTTGGTACAAACATCACGGATTTGGACAAAGAATTGTTAAAGGGTTTTGGTGATTTTTTTTCAAGTTGGTTTAGGTTTATATTTTTGGTAGCTTATGGTAATGCTGAGTTACATTGGTAAGGAAAAGTCCTAAAGTAACAAAAGCAGTTGGTCATCAAATGTGGCATAAGCAGAAAGGAACTGGCACCAACTACAATATAATAATGCGGCCTCAGAGTTGCCCACCAGAGATACATGCAGGGACACCCATCCATACCCAACATGGCACTTCAAGAACCCCTGATATTAAGCAAATGTTGATCAGAACAGCTTCTCATGATGCTATGCAAGAGTTCGGGATCCCAACTACCAGTTGGAAACAGCAACCAGAAAACTGCTAACCCGGTATCCTCAATATGAAGAGATGTGGCCACAAACTGCAAACATCACAACAGATTCACAACAGCACTTCTAGTAAGGCTAGAGAAAAGGAAAGGATCTGGGAACACCTTCCTAAACAGCCAATAAAGGATGAGCGTCTACTTCTGTTCAAAAGAAGTGGGAGGAGTATTAACCAGACAATAGGAAAGCCTATCTACTCCTATTAAAAAAAAACAAAAAACAAAAAATAACACAAGAAACAGATAAAAATAAACAAAAACAATAACAACAACAATGGACATAGAAACACAACTGGAGAGCCAAATTGAACTGGAAGCCACTGTGTGAGCTATGTATGTATAGATCGCTCATGGGTGAGAGGTCTAAATTTAGAATTGGTTGGTTTGGCAATTTGTTTGAGTATCGGTTTCCGGTTTCCCTTTTATACTGTGGTTTTTGATTAGGTTTTTAGTTTAGCATTTTTGCCTTTTCAGGAAGCCATTCATTTTCTTGTGTAATGATAGCATTTCCAGTCAATATCTGATTTCAATTGAGATTGATAAATTTGCAACTTAGTCTGTTCAACTTGCAAATTCACATGTATTTCTGGTTCAATCTTAAAAATATTCATATGGCTAGAAAGAAGATAAAATAATCTTTCTAAATATGTAATTTGTATGTGCTTTTATTCATTGAATTCTTTTTTACAGCGAGTTAAAACAGTATTTTGCTTTGAATAGTTGAAAATGCGAAATATGATTTTTTTTAGACTAAATTTTTTACATGTTACTTTGTTTCGCAAAATCAAAGTGACCAACCAATCTTTATCAATATTCTTTAAATGGTACACTCATTTGAAGACACCTTAAACTACAACCAGGAAGATGTTCATTTCTTCTCTGACTCGTGGACACAAATCCCTTAAAAAATTATAAAGTAAGCAAAAAAAAAAAGAAAATAAAAAAAAAATAAATAGATAAAAAGAAGAAAAGAGCAACTGATAGTATGTGTGGTAAAAGTACTTTCAATGAACTTGTAAATGCTGCTTGGTTTATGCGTTAAGGTTATCAAATGTAATTGCACATTCTAAGAGCATTTATCTATTATACATTTAACGATTCAAGAAAAAACAACGAGTCTCCAATTGTGCATCAACAATAAAATATATATATTGAAACAATAACATACAAAACAATCATGTAATGTTGTGTAGTAATTAAGGGAGAAAAAGTTGCGTCCCTTTAACTGTATTCTGAATAAGATTGAATGTTCGAAAGAATTTCTCTTGAATAAGAATGTTCAGGATTCTATGTTGAATAGAGTCTGGTGTAGAAAGGAATACAGTCAATTAAAAAGTGTGTTTTTTTGAGAAATATATAGAGTGCTGGTTCATGAACTTGGCTTTGTCACAGAAAAAAAGAATATGTGTAATGTGATACAAAAAATCTGTGTCTGTGTGTGCGTTGCGAGTAAAGTCGTGGATTTGTGTAGACATGCGTAAATAGCTGGACTCTATTGAAAATTGTGGAAACAAACCACTTGTTTATAAAGCTGCTGGTAGGCTCCAGGCGACAACGTGGGAAAATAGATTCAGCACAAAAATGTTTGATTGGTTAAAATTCGACCAATCACTGATTTTGTAACAAAGACACATGTGAACAAGTTCACAGCAGGAAAATTCAAAGTGGTGACTACGATTGCTAAATTGTCGTATGGAAAAGCAGTATACAAGCCAATCGCAGACGAATAAATTGTAAGCGTGGAAAGTGTAGCAGTCGCTACAAACTACTGTCTTGTCGCGAAAAACCTAAACGCTCCATATACTTTTCGAGTGTTGTTATTTTTGGAAATGTCTGTCATTGTGGAAGTCTATTAACGGGTGTGTAAGGGGTCAATATACTTCTTGTTTTATTTTTAATTTTAAGCAAGTGTAATACAAATATATCTACATGCGTAAAACTAGAGACCACTGGAATTGAGAACCCGAAAACCTAGAATCGGGGTGGGTAATAAAGTAGGGATTGTTCACCTAAAGTCAGTTTTTAGGCTTTAAAATAATTTAGTTATAGAATTTATGACTTCGATTAAAGTTTATTAACCTTTTGAATAAATTGTTAACTATAACATAACAAACTGGTATACGAAAACAATCGTCGCATAAAATATCTATATATGTGTCTTTGGACAACACATTTTTTAAGAGAGAAAAATATAGCTCTCTCCAGAAATTAGTTTATGATGTAGCTTTTAAAAAGCCAAATAATGAAACCCCTCATGTTTAAAATAATTAAAATGGCAATTA